GTCGAACAACTCCCCAAAATAGTGAGGTCAAAAAAAGGGCAAAATCAGTGATTGGACACACTCGAAAGCCCGATACGGGCCTTGGTCGACCAGCGGTGGCCCAGCCTCTCGACCATGGGATAAAGGGTTCGTGTGGTTAGCACGAAGACATCCCTCCATCTTGTATACTGGTTTTCATAACATTAGCATGGGTTTTCTCATTGTCACATAGAAATAAATACTAGGAATACTAGGACATTTGCGAGGAAAACGCACAGTTGTAATTTTGCCCCGGCCGGAAATGGAACCCAGGGTTGCGTTGTGGAAAGCGAGCACGCGAGCCAAGAGCCACTTCGGACCTCCTGGTCCACGAAGATCCAGTTGCGGACATGCACCGATGTGAGCTTCCGCACCAACGGGCCAAAATATCAGAAAATAAAAAAGACAAATGAAAGCTATTCTTCCTCCCGTTTCGATAACAATGTCATTACACATGCTAACACATTTCTAATTTGTCAAGAGACGCTGCATTCATCATTATTATCATTCGGTTGAAAAGTTTCTGATAGTCGATGGAACTACGAAACTCTTTCACTTGACGACCATATTTTAACGACGTTGGCTCATTTCTTACATATTCATTTAAGCATTCAAAATGGACTTAATAATGAGATATTTTATCAAAGTAAGCATTTTTCTCAGCCCGCAATCTCCTTCATGAAAATATTGACTTTCAGAAGGAATGATGAGAAAACTGTAATATCATATAATATAAAAATTACATTTCTTCACAAAACTTCATAAAAAGAAAGAAAGCAAAAAATGATGAATTATTTTGCAATAAACATAATGTGCACGTAAAGGATCTTCATTGATAACAATTAACATCCCGAAAATCAACATCGCAGGTAAATAACAAAATATTAGAATTCATTTGAAGAAGTTTGATTCTTATTTGTTCGTAAGTTTGTTTTTGCCGACGTAATGTAAATCACAAAAAATTTCGAGTGTCCGCTTTTGCCGTCATTTCGCCACACTGTGCGTGGTGGCCAGCTGACAAATCAGAGCGACCTCGCGCCGATCCTGTCTCCGGGTGGAGCAGAGCAGGGCAGGGGCTTGTTACGAACATGGATGCTTCACTTCAGGGTTTGATTTACCATCATTGACGCTCCAGACTGGTAGTAGTTTGAACACTCCATAGCAGTATTGCCCTCAGGAACTATATAGTTTGTGAATTTAATAGATAATTGCTGACGTTTAAATTGTGAATTAATGATGAATTATTTTTAAAAAAAACATTTTATGTCACTTCATTGTTGAATGGACATTGTTCAAATTACAATTACGGTTCAATTCCATTTAAGTTAAAATCAAATCCAAATTCAATAGACACTTTATATTTACATATTTATTTTCTTTTTACATATTAAATATTATATAAACGGAGTCATATTAATGTGAGCGCCAAGCTAGTTTCACCAGAATCCAAAAACTCTAAGTTTTCAAGAAACTTCATGAGATATAAATCAAGGATCTAATTTTACTGAAAAAAATTTTAAAATGTTGCTGATGATTCCCTTCCTTGTTATTCGAAGAAAACCGTTCATTGTCCAAAATGCCATTGTACTGGTTCTTTGAGTGTTAATATTGGGTCATGTAAAATGTAATTGTTAATATTGTGTCATATACTCTGAAAGGTTCCACAATATTCGCAAAAGAGCCTGCGTGTAATAACTTTGTAGCTGTAAATGTTTTATAAGTCATATTGTATGCAAAACTATTTATTTCAAATAGTGTTAAAAAGAGGGTTCAGTCTTTGAGGATTTTACTGAGTAAATAAAATATTTCAGTAAAAGTTCGTCTTCATACGAATGCATTTTACTCCGTCTCTGAATAGAAAACAGGCTTTTCAGTGAAAGGAAAAGGAGTTAAATGCTTTTTCTGTCATATATAGAAATAAATCCTACAACGGCAGACAGAAATAATTTTGTTTTGACCTTTCGTTCTTCACAGTTCACCGCGCACTCCTTATACGTCTGAACCACAGGCTGCAAAATCTCCGCCAACCCGATCTCCATTACATTCATTCTTCCACGCAGGTGCAAATGCTGCTTCCGGTCTTTGAACAGCGTGAGGACAATTTCGTTGTGATAGACATCGCAGTAAACAGCAAGTGTATCTATTTTGTCTTGTTGTAGTTCTCGTGAATAGCCAAGCATTCATTGCCCTTGAGTGGCCAACGACTCCGAATTTATATTGGCTATTGCATTTTCATGTCGCAGTGGTGCATGACCAAATGCATCCAAGCTTGTATGTACCTCCAAACGCTATGCTCTCAAACATAAAATTGCATTTGTATCCACGTTGTACATTTCAAAGGATTCTTAGAATATACTATTCATTTTCAGCTGCAGTATATTTTCGAATATGTCTAGAAAAGTATTTTACCTTATATTTATATATTTTTAAAATTGTGTTTCGAAGAGTACATGGAGTGAAAAGGGCCTTCTTGATTATCCAGTCAGGCGAAGATTGTTTGAAAACGTTTTTCAGTGCATTGACTGTAAACTGCTCAAGGCTGTTTTGAATTTAAAAAAAAATACCCTTTATGTTATTCGTTTTGTTACGTCATATACGTATATAAAACAAACCAGGTTCTTACTGCGGACTGGTATTAAACTTCACAAATTAGAATTTTCCCTGATACTCTTTTGTTATTAATGGACGGCGTTCGTGAAGGATTTCACAATTAATAAAATACAAACAAATTACTTAAATTAATAAAAATACAAATTACTTTCAGCGAAAGATGATGTTTAATTACATTTGTTCCAAGAAATGATATTTCTTGTTTAGATGATTTTTCTCTTACAAGATGATATTCCGACAAGTATTGATCGCCGTACGGCCAATACCACAAATCATTCGGCGGGTATTTGCTAATGATCGGCCTAATGACTTTAATTGCTGCCATGTGATCCGAGATAATTCACTCTTGCTATCATCGCCATAATCGCTGGAAAATATAAAATTTCAAGGAATTCGAACTCTACCGTAGAGCAGTTACAGTCACGGCCGACTGCCCTAATAGAAGTAGCATAAGGCTCCAATTCGCATGCTACTCTTCCCCCTTATGTGTCCTGCAGGGAGGAGGGGAGACTCAGTCTTCAGGGAGTAGGGGAGACCCAGCCCTAGTAGAGGATTGGAAACGCCCACCCGGTTTCCGGTGTTTCACCTGATACCCACGTCGTTAGTGTCGACGCGGCGCAGCGGGGTCGTGCCAATCATTGATTGATTCATTAGCGATTCCGGGTGCATAAGCAGCTAAGGCCATTATTCCCATAATTGTAGTGCATGTTTTATCCCGAGAGGTGGCGGTGATCTTCCTCCGGTGGCTGGCGAGATCCTTCGCCGACCTATATCGGCTCGCGGAGATATTCCCCAACCAAGAATCTTCCACCTGCGTGGCACCACCCCAGCCGGGACAAGCTCTAAGCTCCTGAACGGTCACCCGGCATATGTGGTCGCATGTTGGCGTGTGTATAAGTAAGGAATGAGGAAAGTAAAAGGGAAAGTAACAAAAGATCGCGCGCGATCCGTGACCCGTTAATTAGGGTACTACTCCGGCATTCGCCCGGTGTAGATCGGAGAAACCACGGAAAACTACCGATCAGAGCAGCTCGCCTCAAGAATTCTCCTCCGGATATCGATTGAACTCGACCTAGGGATGTAGCTTGTGCCGAAAACCACCGTCTGAACTCAAACCCTATGACCTCGCAGTCAGAGGTACTGCAATTACATCAGTTGATGCCCTGAACCACCTTTGGCGGTCCAAGCCACTCTTCCGAGGAGGGAAATCTCCGCGGGTGCGAAGTCTTCGTGGCAGTGGTTTCTGACGCAGGGATCTGAGGAGGGTTTAGTCGCGACCCTGGCGTGAGAGATATATCACTCACTCGAATAAACTCAGAGATGGGAGAATCTATGTGTGGAGGAGCTCTATCCAAGTCCCCTAAATTGTCGGCAGACATGGAAGTAGAGTGCGCTTGCGTTCCGGCTTTAATCTAGACGCCATCTTTGGACCAAAAGTGTGCCACGATGCGATCGCTCCGACGAGTGTTGAGAATACACGAAATATACTCCCAGAAGGCGCTACTCCGGAGGCTCATTCGCTGACTTCGCTTCGCCAACAATAACTTTATGATGCAAGGATATCCATGTTGGTAGTAGGTTGGTTGTAGTTGATCTTGAAAATGACGTAATGCACAATGGCGGCATACAGGCGTTCATCCTATTAATTATAATACATCCATCGAAACTAATGATTTAACTATATAACCAGTTAATGAGAGCAAGTTATAAGACCGTTAGAACCCACTACCTTTCATTTAAATAATAAATCACGAAATTTGGTTAAGTAGTAAGCTTGAATTTCATTCTAAATGTAGAGCATTAAATGTGCTTTAATTATATGCGTGCATTGGATTCTGGTCTGCAAATCAAACCTAATGTGTTTTTATTCGAGTAATATTTACAACAAAAACTATTGAATGCCAATTAATAAATTTCTATTTTTAGAGAATCATTTTTCAAAGAATAAAGAGTCACAGTGTTATTTTTTCGTGTGCATTTACACCAAACAGTAAATTTACGTAAAATATAAATGTTAAGTAGCGTTCAATTTAAATATTACATTTCAAGTTTTAGAATTTTCGATTTTTTTTGTTGTTGAAATTTTCAACTATAACATTTCTGTTACAGGAGTATAGATAAAAACTGAAATTTGCAGACGTAAAATATCGCTGTCGTACGAAATTGCAGTATAAATTTCAATTTTAAGATTGAATTCAAAGTAGGCTTTAACAAATTGTAAATTTAAGCAAAACATGCTTATTTTCCCCATTAGGCAGTGGGGACAAGGAGTAATCGTATTATTTCACATTCATTTTGAACTTAAATCTATCCTGCTTTAAAATAAGCGAAAGAGCTCTAATGTGTGTGTGTGCTTGTGTGTGTGGTGGCAGGCGTGGCGCTGGGCGCGGGCATCCTGTTCGGGCTGATCACGATGCTGGTGCAGTACGTGGGGCTGTTCATGACCGGCTTCCACACGGGCCTGTTCGCGGGCATCGTGGCGCTGGCCGTGGCCGAGCAGTTCGCGTGGCAGCCCGCCATGTGGATGACCGGCTGCGTGCTGCTGGGCGGCGGCCTGCTCTTCGCCATCCTCAACCTCTACTGGCAGAAAGGTGGGTGCGCAGGGGTTGCGTCACAGGGCGGGGCCCGAGGGAGAAAGGAGATGGAAGAAGGGAGGGATGAGAGGGGATAGAGGAATGAGAGGAGTGAGGAAGGGAAGGATGAGAGGGGACAGGAAGGATGGGATGAGAGGGGAGAGAGGAAGATTGCAATGAGAGGGAAGAGAGGAAGGGAGGGGAGGAAAGAAGTGAGAGAGGTAGCGGGGGAATGAGTAGGACTAGGAGAGGGAAAGAGAGCGAATGAGAGAGACAGAAGGAGATAAAGGGGGAGAGAATGCGAGGGAGAGGGGAAGAGAAGAAAATAGATCGAGAATAAAGAAAAAAATTGTTTGAATTGGAGAAAATGGTGCATGAATGTAAGAGGTAAAGAATGGTGGAAATAAAATTAATGGAATGGAATGATGAATGGAAAGAAATTGATTCAACAAGACAGTTTAACAAGAACAACATGGTGTTTCCTATATGAAGTTATAATTACTATGTACCACGAATGGTATAATGATCATTTTACTTTTAATCATCTGAAAAATGTACTTTTTTAATTCTAGTTGATTAAAAGTACTTTTGGGACAAGCCTAGCATATCTTCGACACCCCATTGGAATTAAACGATTTCCTTAGTTCATTCTATTCCCACGGCGTTCGATGAGACCCGCTCCTAATGTGATTGATAGTTTGTACACTAAAGACATTCCTTTCCGTTTTTTGTGATTCTTAAAGAAACCATTTAAATATATTTTTGCAAAGAAAACATACTTTGCCAATTTTTCGAGCGTTTGGTTATCAAAAGTGAAGATACATTTTAACTGTATTTCAATATTTGGAGGAATTTAAAGTAAGTTCCAGTTAAAAAGTCCAGCGTTTAAATGAAGACTCGCAAGTTTCCTCACTTATATCGCGCCAGCTATTTCGAAGTGGCGTTTCGAGATAATTTGTTTAATTTATCAATTCATATACTATTTTCACTGGTTTTCCCTAGCTTATTTTTTCTAGTCATAATAGAATTTAGAATTTTCATTTTAAATTTTTAGTGACCTTAAAAAGCGACTAAACAAAACCGAAAAATTGCAACTACCAACACATACTTTGTTTTTCTTTGGAAGTTTGGTCCAAATAGTACTCGTTTTTTCCTACTGAACGTGGTAAGATTTTCAATCGGTAAAATTATGAGCTTGATAACCGATACGAAAATTTTAAAGATTAAAAACAATTCACTTGCAAAACTTTTCCTGCGCCATCAACGGAGAATCAAGAGAAATGGGGGCGGAAGTGAGATTGGTGTCTAGAAAATGTCTTCCTGTCTCCCCGCGGGCTCAACGCACGGCAGCCGCCTTCGTGCGCGCAGCGGCGACACTTTCCAATTACCCATTTCTCACGTCTGCGGCAGATTTACCCGCGGCGTGCCTCGCATTCAGACGCCCCCTGCCGCCTCGTCAGCCCATTGTTGTCGAATCCCATGGCCTCGAAAACGTCGCCCAGCTACGCGTGCCACTTCCGCGCCGCGCACCCGGGGCAGAATTGTCTTGCGTCATAGTTCATTTCCAATTGGTTGCAGTCTGCGCTTAACTAGTTTTTGTTGTTGTTTTTTTCTTTTGTGACTTGACTGGTGACACTGTCTCGTGTGTCCGAGCGCTGAAAGATTCGTAAGTAACCATGTTGCGAGACACCAATAAAGAAAGTTATCATTTGAATACTAAGAGATAAAAAGTCTAGAAAGCTACAGGTTGTTTTAAGAAAAGTTACGTGGATTCTTATGGGGTCATTTTTTTTTCTAGAAATTACTACAGATAGATTGCGTGTTATCGGATTAAATGCTACGTAAACACTTTTTTCAGTATGTAGGGCGTCATGAGAAAACTCGGAATTTAATTAACTTTCCTACTTTTTAAAGTGTTTCTAGTATGTAATGAAGAAATTAATGACGTTTTCAATTTACTTTCTATCTGAGGCTTACGTCCATCATTAAATTTCATCAATTAAAACAGCTTTTTACATGAATTAGAAACTGCTACAACTTAAATGATAATTCGTTACACACATTACTTTTAAAACGACAAAGATACAATGAGAAGTTCCCAAGCAAACCAAGAATTACACTTCTGACCTTCTTATACTCCATGTATTTAGTAGAATAAAAGCGACCTTTCTCTTATTTCGTTTTCACGTTATCTGACACGTGAACAAAATTTGAATACAGGTTCGTGGACACTCCGTTTCATCGCCAAAGGCGTTTCCACTAGTTCCAAAGCCAGAAAGAGATAAAGCTGCAGAACTGAAGCTTTTTCACTGAAATCTTTGAGAAAATGTATACACAAGCAGAAAAAATGAAATTGTAAGTTTAAGTGTTCAATTAATAAAAACAATCCTCTTCCCCAATCACAGTGCATCAATTCTACACGTTGTCAGCTCAGAAAAGTGGGCAATTATGAATTGATCGTATTAACGCAAGTACAGTTTATATTACACAGCGCTACGGGGCCCGTTTCCAAATTTTCAGGGGTATCTAGTCCCCCTGACCTGCCCCCTCCTATACGCGTACCTGTAGGTATAAAAGTCGCATCCATTTAAACGCGCACAGTTTCTCAAATTGTTTTGTGAAGTTATGATTCCGTGATAAATAACTGTTCCTCGTTCACGTTGTTCAATCTTAAATGTATGAATGCATAGTAAATTATAGCTTTCAAGTTCGAAGAAAAATATTTATTGAACCGTTTCCATCGTTAAGGTGACCATAAAATACGAAGACAAAGGCTTACAGAAAATATGGCAAAACACTTGAGACACAAAAGTAGGACGCAACGTTTTCCTAATCTTAAAAATGATTTATTGCGTCTTCAATTTTTTTCTTTTTTGAGAAATGCAAAGAAATCCAATGTGTTCACTTTATTTTTGTCTCTTTTTAACCCGCCTCAACATATATCAACAAAACTCGAGTATTCTCACACAAGAACATCAGAATAACAGTAAATTTCCCTTGTTAAGTAAGTAATAAGAATCTTCAAAGAGAAAATCATTGAACCGTTCTCGCATCACAAAAATGTTTTTTCTTTTTTTCTGTTCAAAATCTACCCAAAGTTTCCGGTGCATCCCAGTTCAACTTCGACTTAGGCCAATCCGCGGAACATCAATGACGCCATTCATATTTTCCTTCGGAATCTAGCAGACATGGAATAAAGAAATGAATAGCCCATCTTCCGTAATCCACAATATTCACTCATTCATTCATGCATTCTCTTTAAAAATCAGTATTCCCTTAATTATAAACTTTAAGGGAGTTTGCCATCGTTACCCCCTATCATTTTATGTTATAATCTATGTAATTTCTTGCTCCTAAAAAGCTACATGACTGAACGTCAAAGATGTGCAAAAAAATATTGTACCTGCCTGCTTACTAATTTATACTACAACCGGCTTCGTTCTGGAATACTCCAACAGGTTCGGCCACGTATCGTTTTCAACAATATGTTCTCCCGAAGAATGTCTGAGACCGTTGTCTGAAACGTTATGTGTCTGAACGAAACCGGTTCGATAAGAACACTCGTGCAAGTACCATGAAGTATACACTTTAATTGAATAGCTTTGAAGAAAAGAGGCGCTTGGAATTAAGTAATGGTCAGCGACCTTAAGTGACTTTTACAGAAGAAGTAATTTAAAGTTCTAAGAATTTAGTAAATCAGGTGATCAACACAAAAAGTGTATTTGATTAATTATAATTACATGGTACTGCAAAAGTATTACGGGCACTACTGTGCCAGTGGCGTGCCAGCCTCCAGCAGAAACGAAAAAGGTACCGAGGATGATGGACAATTCCCTATGTGACGGAATCAGCGATTTTTACACTTTAATATCAATAATTGACAATTTTCTTCTTCTTAAGTTTGATAAGAAAATGTAAGAAAACTAGAAATTGGAAACTTAAAATAGAAATTTAAAAAATCTTTCTCTGTGACCTTTACAATTTATTGATAATAGAATATCTTGTATGCGGTAAGAACCACATGGGAGGTTTTCGTAACCTGCTTTCAGAAAAAGATTACAGTAAATAAATATGTAATACCATCATACAGAATGTGTAGAATGCCTAAACTTAGCCAACCGTACATAGATTATTAACATCAAAAAGCGTTTCCCTTCCTCCTGTAATTTTTTTTTCACACAGGAAGTCGTCTGTCATCAACGACGATGTATCAATTTTGCTTGTTTAGTGGCTTACCATTGTCTAAACTCAAACGCCTCAAATACAGAGGAATTACTCTAAGATGGGACTACTTTGACAGGTCGGGCAACAAAAGAACATCATGCAGGGAGATAGTGATGCAAAGGATCATGATCAAGGCATCATGCAAAGGATAGTGATGAAGCATTTACGAATGAGTCTTCCGTAAACGAACGCCCCGACAAAATGAGGCGATGAACGTAACGCGCTGCACTGGCAGTAGCTGTCAAAGCGGTCCCTTCTTAAAGCAACATCCCTCCCTGCCTCGGAAGCGGCGAGGCGCTGGCTGGGGGCTGAGCGGGTGGGATCAGCGGGAGCGTGCGCAGCGACTGCCCGCGCGCAGCGACCGCCTCCGAGAGCAACGCCCTCGCGTGCGCTTGCAGGACTCACCGTGGTGGGCACGAGCGTGTACGGCGGCGCCATCATGGCCGGCGCGCTGGACTACTTCGTGGAGAAGTTTCTCATGGTGAAGTGGCTGTGGGAGCGCGTCACGCTCAAGCGCACGCTCTCGCCCTGCTGGTTCAGCTGGCTCATCCTGTCCGTGTGGCCCTTCATGGTGTTGGTGGGCATGGTCACCCAGTGGGCCATCACCGGGCGCGGCATTTACCACCAGGAATGTGAGTATGCGCTAGCCTCTCGTCGACGGCAAGGGCGCGCGTGTGGGAGCGGGTGTTTTATAGACTATTCCACCCTGTGGCTGCGATGTCTCAGTGGCAATATGGCCGTTGCCTCTGCTACGTCGATGATGGGGAGGGAAATCCTAGGGTTCAAGTCATAACAGTACTTGATTTTCAACATTAGCTACACATCTGGGTCGGACTCAGACGCTGTCTGGAGGACAATTGTAGTGGCTGCTGGTAGTTTCCTGTGGTTTCTCCGGTTTGCCTCGGTAGTTTCTTGTGGTTTCTACACGATACCAATACCAATGGAATGCCGAAGCAGAACTCTAACAAAGAGGCCAAGGACCGCGCCTGATCATTTCTTCCTCTTCCTTGTCCTATCCTTACCCATTACTTTCTCACACATCATACTATTACACTTGTCGGGAGACAAGTACAGAGGTTAGAGCTTGTCTCGGTTGGGGCGGAGCCACGCTGGTGGGTGATAACTGATTAGGGAAAGTCCCCGCAAGCTGACGTGTCTCGGCGCCGGATCTCAGGGAAGATTACCTCAAAGATCCAGAAGATCACCGCAACCTCAGGCGATGAAAACACGCACCACACTTGCAAGACAGATGTCCTCAGCAGTTGATGCGCCCGGAATCACTAGCCAATCATTAAATGAATTTGCCTTCAATGCGTCAATTTGCTTTAGTTGTCTGTCAAAAGAATACTCGCGGCCCATGCCAGGTCTTTCACTAGCAGTTCTTGCCCTTCACACCATCAATGTGTGAATTAAACCGTACATTGATAGAAAGAGGATGAAACCAAAGCCGAAAGGAGAGTAGAAAACACTTAAGAGGTAAAGACCAATTTGTTTGTTTTGTTTGCTTCGAAGTTGCCACTCTAAGAGTGATGTTGACGCAATTGCTCGGCAGTATCATTACAATGAAAAATTGAAGAAAATTGAATTCAGAATAATACCTATACTAAGTCAGTCGTAATAAACAATTTCCAATTTATTTCAGTTTCCTTTTTCAAAAAATTATTTTCCAAATTATTCGAATTTGATATCGATTTAATTAATTAATCCGTACAGGTCTTCTGAGATTCTTAAGACTGCCAACATGTTTACGCATTATTTTGCTAACGTTAAACTCCTGATTGTGGTGGACAGGTGGCGATTTATCCAAGATCTTCGCCTCAAAAATAGACTTCACAAATACGCAGTTTTATAATTAGCAAATAAGTGTATGCAAATGTCTATCTTAAATACAAAATCACCGTTTGCGAGTTATTCGTTATGTTAATCATGTTGATAAATGATATGACAGCTATAATAATTAATATGTTAATTAAGAATTAAATATTCATAATCCAATTTGTGATAAATTATCTGAGCTACTTTCCTCATTCAGATTTCGGAATATTGTAAGGAAAATTACAGACAAAAGACTGAATCAGCAGACTATCCCATACTGTTTGAATTCATGCCATCAGTTCATAGCTTTCTTTTATGACTCAGTTACGAATGAATGCTACAAACACATTTCTCCGAGAGGAAGTTACGGAAGGACTACATACATTGTATCGTGTGTCTCACATTGACCATTATATTATGACTGTTCTGTTGTAGTGATTATTTGCCGGGAACCTCGTCTTAAGTAACATGCATGTAGTCTACAAGCATACGACTGTGAATGTCGCTTCTACAATACGCGGGAAGTAGATTAAAAAGTTTTTTTTTGTCTTCCATTCGTTTCTTGTGACTACATAACAAACAAAATTCGTTCATTTACATTGGCGACCCGATTTTTAATATTTTTCAAGATATCGTCATAAGCAGAGTATTGCAACTTTATCAGATTTTATTTTTTATTTATTTTATTATTGTATAATCAGAAAAAATCAGTTTTTCGATAGCAGATTTACATCAAATTAAAAATAATGAATTATGTATGCAATTTATTAAAATGTATACTACAAATTTACTTAAAATATTGACCTCACATCTCAGACAGAAAAAAACTAATATTGCAACTTTATTAATAATTCTTGTGACTTCGACCTGTTTCATTATTGTAATAGAAAACGTTATTAACGTTAAACTCCTCGTTCTGGATGAGTCCCTTTGTAGGGTCCAAGGACTCGTATGAGAATTTTCTCATATTTAATTTCAAGGGCGACGGAAGTGGCGCAGTAGGTTGGGATGCAAACAACATGATACAAATTGTAAGTACTAGTAGCACCAAACAAAAATGGAAGGTACGAATACAGTATGAAGTAATTGTAGCTATCGTGACAGCTAACGTGGAAGGCGGAATTGTCATGCAAATAAAGTGCGTGCGTGTCTGCCTATGAAAACTTGACTTGGAGTACTTTCCACCTGAACACTTTTCAAAGCATGTAAAACAGCCATTACATGGTACTTACTACTCTATTTGAGGTAGAGTTTCCCGACATCTGAGATAGGTCAGAATTTACTTTTATATAGGTCCGTGGCTGTGTTCGGGTGTTGGAAGTGGGTGGAAATTCAAATCTGTTTACAGTTTATTTACTTTTTCTTTGTATAATACAACATTATGTAATGTTAAATCCCTTTCCGACAACAGAAAACCAAGGAACTCCGTTTCTTCTTTCAAACCAGCTGTTCCCAACTGATGATTAGCAATTTCTCAGGGCTTTGCAATAATAATAATAATAATAATAATAATAATAATAATAATAATAATAATAATAATAATAATAATGTAGTTACACAAATCGAATTCCAAATGTAAAATATATAATGAAATGTATTTTTTTAATTTAAAAATAAAAGTATTAATAGTTCAACTAAAAATCAATGGGTAGCCATTTCCATTACAGATTTGAATTTATTTTGAATTGAACTTGCTTGAATTAATTTTCTATCTTATCATATTAATTTCCTATTCATTTTTCGTATGTTTAGCTATCACATTAGTTGAATAGACGTTTGTCTGTATTTTGTTGCGTTTGTGTTGTTTGTTCGTGATGAACTATTATTAGGCTAAAACTAGGCTAAATAAATTTAATACAACACAATGTTGTTATTTTCATTGTTACTAATGAATTCATAGGGGACTCACTATTTCTACATTTTTTTAGAAAGAGTTCACTGGAAGAAAAAGTTGGAAACCGCTATTTGAAACAATAGTATGTTATATGAAAACAATTTTATACATAATTTGAATTCGTTAAGTATCAACATATGAAAGACATGATTAATAAATCTCGACCGACAGAACCAGTTATGTCGATTGTAATAATGGTTATTACTCATACTTTTACATGATTTTACCTACGTTAACATTTTTAAGGTTTCTTTTCAACAATTGAGTCATATAGTGACTACTGTGTTTGTTTTAACTTTAGAAGGAACTGTAGGAACACGTATGGACAACACGACACTCATGAACATCCATGCCCGAGGCGGGATTCAAACCCGCGCCCCTTCAGCCTTCGCAACCTCGGCTCTCCGGACCGGCAGACGTTAACATTGTATTGATATGAAAGACTTCTTAAGTATCTCATTAAATTGTTCACAATCTGTTTGAAATAACACTCACTAAAATGTGGTAACCATAATTTTTTCATTCCAACACATCTCTAAAACCCACTTCCGTTACATAAGAACTAATACGATACATCATTTTCTATTTGTGCGTGTGGAGTCAAATAAGATTACAATTCCATTTAATAATTCATTATTTTGTAGCCACTATTAGTTAGTGTAACAATTTTACTGTACTTAGTAGACCACAGAAGTTAAAAATTCAAGTCTGTTGTGGGCCTTTCTCTCAATTTGATACACAAGAAAATTATTGCTCTGAGCATCCTTAGGTTTTTTCTCTTGGATTTACCGAAGATTTTGAGAGCCATAAATCCGACTTCCCTTTTGTTTTCAATCAGAAGATCTTAAACTCTCACTCTCTGATTCGTCGTCTGGTGAGACATCAGATAAAAATTTGTACCAATATAATTCCTTTTTTAAATTTTTATTTTATATTTGTCTGTTAATTTTCTTGATACGAATATATGTTGCCACTGGTCTACAGTTTTCTAAGGCAATTGAATAACTTTAAATATTGTTAAATAATAATGAATATTGTAAAATGAAGAATTATTTGTAATGAAAATTAATACGAAAGAAACTATTTGCAGTGAGTTATTCGTTTGTCTTTGAAAATCGTCGGCCAGAGACAACATATATTCAGTATTTGATTTCTGGCCGGACGCGACGGAACAGCGTTCCGGTACCCCAGTATAATTATTACATTACATTATAAATATATAACTATTTCTATTAAATTAATAATTAATTTGGGGCGCGTTCCGGGACCTAAAATTTTATAAATCCAGCACTTCATATATATATATATATTATATAATATATATAATATATATATATTTATAGTATATGTATACAATATATTGCTCACTTAGCCGAATTCGCTGCGCGTGATTCTCTCTGCCTCCGTGCTCCTTCCCTCCCCCCAACTAGACGTCTCCTGACTATCGCCTAGCGCGCGAAAACGCCGAGAATGTGCCGTGCTCCTGAGACAAGCGCCGGGCAGTATAAATGCGCCGCTGCCGCCGCGAGTCGTCAGTATATAGTTAGAAAGTAAGAAGTAGTAGAAGTCAGTGGGTAGTAAACTCTGAAGTACAGCAAGAAACAGTCAGTCCGTCAGTGGTTCCGAAGTGGAAGCTGTGCTGTGGAAGAGTTGCATTATCGGTGAAGAGTGGTGCCATGGTTGAACAGAAGTCAGCAGTCTAATCTCATGAACTGAGCTGTAAGGTGTGCATCCCGTAAGCCTGTCAGTGGGGAAACATGCATTCAGCAGTTGAAGTCTCAGTGAACGTAGGTTTGAAGTTGCATCGCGGTAAAGCAGCGTGCATGGACACCCTGTTGCGCAGTGAAGTGTGGTTGCGCCAAGGAATGTGTCTCCAGTGGAATTGTTATGCTGGTTCAGGGAATTGGTCAAGTGCATGACCGTGGACAGTCACATTACTGGCTGATACTGTAGAGAAGAGAACAGTATAAAAAATATTTTGAAAATGTACCCTTTAAAAAATCAAGAAACAGTCTGGTTAAACGAAAATTAAGTAAAATCGGTAAATAACCCAGTGATTTTATTCTAATTTTCTCTGTTCTACTCTACTTGTATTTTTTTTTTTTTTTTTTCAATCATTGTTCCCGAATAAAACCTTCTTTATCTGAAATAATTTTTGTTTGGTTTTAAATTCACACGGCAGAAAACGTTACATATATACTTATACTATTAATACATATTATACTACATATATAATACAACTCATATATAACATATACATATACATATATATACATATACATATATATACATACATATATATACATACATATATATACATATATATACATACATATATATGTATATATATACACATGAATATTACATACTTTGTGTACTTTTACTTATATCTTCCTTCGAATTTTCGCTCAGTGGTGCCGTCCAAGAAGAATCGCAGCATGACCATCCAGAGGGCCCGGACTCGTGAGCAACGAGCTGAGCTACGACAGAAGAAGTATCGCTACTTGTATCAAGTGCGGACAGCTCACGGGGACGTTATCAGCCAGGTAAAAATATTCACACATGCAAAAATTCCTTGCTGACTTTTTGGTAACAAATGGAAGTACAAGTCTCCCTGTAAACAATGAGTGAAATAAATAGTTTTATGCATTTTTGTCAGATGAATTCAGTTAACCAGTTGCAAGGGGCACCATCTGTTATTAGACTCCTTAAACAACAGGTTACTACCTCATATTAACATCCCCTCATATGCGAATTCTAATATAAAAATCGACTCTGCATACCAGAACATGGATTTATAATAATATTTTACCTGTTATCTGTAATATGGTTCATCTGAATAAGACACTAAATTATAGTTTCAAAAATTAATAAATAATTTAAAAACTCATAAGTTGTCTAATCTTTATTGAGCTAATTTATAATCATATAACAGACAATGAATCACTTCCGAAAACCATAAAGTCCATAAACCGTGCTGCTAAATTATGAAGTACAACTAAAGCGAGGTGACGGAGAAGAGAGGGCGAAAGGTATCTCACTCCGTAATGTTTTATTTCACGTTTGAAACGCTCTTGTACTGACATAAATCTAACTTGCCTAATCTGCCATGGCTGACATCATTCCAACTCAATTTCTAACATCACCAGTATGCAGAAAGCTATCAACCAAGCGTCACCACGGCAATATTCACCTACGTATGAAATATGATTGGAGGTTTATCGCACCACACTACGTTCTTAATTGGACATTCAAAATAGGCTTCGGATAAGCTCTAAAACCTCCCATTCTCCATAAAACACAGTTTTAAGTCGAAATTAGGCATAATTTAAAAAAGTATTTGTATACAAAAATGATAAAATATCATCTAGCCAAACATAATAAAATCTGACATTTATTGTTTGTGACGGGAAAATTATTAATTCACTGATATAAAACCTCGTCAAAATTTATTGAACATAATATACACAATTTATTGGAAATCTCTATAATAAGCCATGCAATAACAATGTTTCGAGAATACAGTTTCTTTCTATTATCAGACATTTTTCTGTAGAAGATTATAAAATACTTTACAATAAAATGATGTATGTAAGACTTTAGCACAAAACAATGTTTTGCATCGCCGTACCTTCTTTCAAGTGTTGTGATTCCTACCATACACATCGTTTAAAGTGAGCCAATGCTTTTTGTATTGCGTACACATAACTTCGTCTGTTTTTATTTACAACTCATTTTATATTCTCCAATAAACGTTGTATATTATGTTCAACAAATGTTAACGAGTGTTTTATATCAGTGAATTAATTATTTGTTCATCATAAGTAATAACGGCCAGATTTTCTCATTTGTATATAAGTTACATTCAAGGGACGAGCAAATAATCTACCTTCAAAAATATTTACAATCAAAAACCAATAAAAGCTGCAATTCTTTCGCAGATAGAGAGGATAGGAAGATGTATATTGATAGAATGATTGATAGAAAATTTTCGCACAAATGTTCGGCAGGTCACATTCTGACACCGTCAAGGAGATTTCATCTACCTGCCGAACACCTGTGCATATTGGGTTGCCTAGCAATCAGGGATAAATGTCAATGTATTCATGCATATAACTCCAAAAGGTGCAACTTCCAACCATTGACAAAAACTGGTCATTTTCCCACCTCTACCTGCTCACCCAGTCTCTACCTGCTCTAGAAGTTTATATCATTTTAAAAAGATATCCTGTATCTGAATTGACGAGAAATGTTTTCCTTAAAATGATTCTACGGCGAAACAACTTTTAAATAGCTAAATTAAAAAATCTGAAAATGAGACATTAATGGTCAGTTAGACATTTTTGGGCTTCAATGTCGCAATAGGCTATACATGTAGTTCCTGTAATGACGCAAAATCATATAATTTTTTATAATTAATTTAGAGTGCCTACGCGAAAACAAAGAAACAAACATTCACATCTTATGTCAATCATGTGATATCTCATCTGATATTGACACCCAGAAAACTAAACAGAAAACTATAATGAATGTCTTGGATTCCATAACGCATAACCTCTTACAGCAGACACCCGCACAAACAGTTCTCGTTTTCGCGGAAACCATTGCGTCACAAGTATGCATCCTTTATAAGCTAATTATTAAAAGGCGTAACAAATGAATACTCGCGCCCGTCTCAATAAAATATGAGCACCCAAGTACAAACGTGAAAGTGTCAATCAGTTCGATATCACCCAAAAGAGCGGAAGGAAGATATGCAATGTAGAAATGAGCATATCGAGATAGTGAAATCATTCAAATTATTTAATTTTAATTGGTTATTGTCTGTGTTGTATTTACAGACATCAAATTTATTTCTTTAGCCATTAAATCGTTTTTGACTTGCAGGTTAAATTCAACAATCTTCAATTCAACATTTTTGTTAATTAGTAGCAATTTAAACAAGAATAGCTTTCAACTTTCATGTTACGAGTTGAAGATAGAAGTTCGCCTTTCATTAGAACCTGAATACACGGATAGATAATTCCTCGAAATGTCGTTACTAGAAAGTTAAAAAGTAAGACGCTTATTTAAGCTATTGTCGTACACAATCTTTTAATAAATATCGACTTGTTATTACGATGTAGAATTAAAGCCTACATATTGAATTTAACGTATCGAAAAAGGATATTTGGCCCAAACAAATATACTTTGAAATTCAAATTATTCAGCTCATTTCGTTTCGTTTCTTTTGAAATTAAATTTCACTCGCCGTCCCTGCGTCCATGGAACTGAGCGGCTGCTTCGAAGACGCGCAACCTCGAGCATCGTGTTCACTTAGTGTACTCGGTTTGGCGTGCTTCCACGACGTGACACCCGGTTCGATTCCCGGTCAGGGCAGATTATAGTGTGCGCTTCCCTTGTAATGTCCCAGTACATGTTGCAGTGTGACGACGAGAAATCTCACTTCTCTGGTTGAGAAGACCAGAATACAGCATAGGGATGCCTATGTGCTAACCACACGTACTCCTTAGCCCACAGTCGCAAGGCCGGGTCTCCGCTGGCGGGACGCATTGGCTCTGTCAGAGGCTGTTGTACGAGTACAGACCGACAGACATTTCTGCCAAATCATATGGGAGTGTGATCTCAAATAACAAGTATAAATGGTTCACATTCATTATCAGGAATGTTGTTTAACTTGTACTGGGGTTGTCTCCCTATTATTTTATCATTCCACCAATCAAAGAATGTTTTCAAAAAAATGTATTTACACTGCAAGAATTTAAAAAAATCCAATTGTGTACTAAAAATACTTTTATTGAAAGTGCATTTACCCTTACTTTTTATTCTTTGAAAAAATGAAAATTATCCGACCACAGAATTGCTCTGGTAATGGTGTGAATTCACAGGGGGGGATACCGGAAATTCCTCTCCTAGAGAATTTGATGTCTCCTATTAGAAAGGTACTATTTTTTTTCTTTTCTGGATAAAATTAATTCTCAATTAATACCTTATTTACGATTTTCACGGTATGAAATGTGGAAAAGCAAGGAAATTGAACAAGAAAACATTCCCAAGATGATTCTTATGATTCATTCTTACTCTCTTACATAAGCGAAGAACCCGGGAATTTTGTATGCCCTCCCTTTTTTAGAAAATGGCAAATTCACACTCAACTGGTAGAACTAAATTTCTTTGTGGTTGTGAATAAGTACCACAGTTTGTGTGCAAACCCAGCTGTAGGTATTTTTATAACGAACTAAAATGAGTGAAAATAAGACAAGCGAATGTTATTTTTATGTTTCAGAGTTACGTTCAAGCTTTGCAACGCAAAGTATGTGGTCCTGGTGAGACTAATACTCTTCAATCGGATTCAACACATCTCACAATACTTCCCGCAGACCAGACCCAACTGGCAGCTCTCACAGAATCAGAAGATGAAAGCCGGGAAATATCTGGTGATATAATTCAACTAGATAGGCGCCACGAGAGCAGCCGAGAATCTGTCAACTTCAACATTGGTCGACCTCCATATCGATAGTAATTCCATTCCATGCATGCAAGCAACTTTCATAATAATTCATTTCATTGTGATACAACTCAGACGACGAAGTAATAACTTTATTTCATTGCACTATTCGTGAAAAAAAAACTTTTTTATCTTATATGGCAGTGAACAGTGAAACTTGTATGTGAAGAGAAGCAAATAATTTTAAAATAACATTTGTGCATATGTGCTTTAACCACAAACAAGAAGTTATAAAAATGTGAAGATGTGTTTGGTGCTTGGGTCGCTATGAAAAGCCATTTGTTGGGAACGATGTACTTCACATAAAACAGACTGATTTGAAAGTCAGCCCCAAACCAAAGATTCAGACCAGCATTTGTTCTGGAAGTGGTTGGTGTTCAAGCATGGGAAATTCATGTATCTATAAGAACTAATGCTACACGTTGACAATACAGAGTTAGAGAAATTAGATGAATTTTTCTATTAAATATAGTTAATGTATCACTTGTGATGCATGTTCATTCCAGTTTTCTTTATAAGCACAAATATAAGTTAAAGGGACAAAGGAATTTAAGAATGATCCTGTAATTCTAGAAAAACTTTTGTAATTGGACAATCTTTAGTGTCTGAACGAACTAGTTTGCATATATTGATAAAGATTTAATACTCTTCAGTAAACAATTCAATCTGTTCCTTTGTCCTTTGTATGCTTCCTTTCATGCTCGACACCTCTGTAGAATGTTAACTGAGAGACATCCATCCACAACGTGATATGAAAATGGTGAAACCATAAGTTAATGTTCAGTTCATGAAATGAACTATGAATATTTCATATTTGTATTAATCTGTGATGTTGCTTGTGGAAATGATTATTGAATTAATGTAATAAAATTATTTTCCTTTTTTCATTGATTCACTTAGTTTATTGTCACCTGAAATTATTAGTATGTAACACAAAGTCAATTGGCATTGTTTTTTGGACAACATCCTGACAACATCCTGAATCAGGTGTAGAATGGAAACATTTCATGTTCGCTTTCCAAAATTACAACAATTCGAAACCACTGATGTTTAAATTGATCTCTCCTAATGAATATTAGCAGAGGCGCACTTGCGATTTTTCTCTGGTCGTGGTGGTCGGGTGGGGGGATACAAGTATAGTATCCAGGTGATGATGTTTTCTTATAAAGATTTTTTCCATTTATGCTGACTATGCTGACTGAAATTTGTTTTTCTTCGTTCAGTTGTAGTTAAAATTTATAACGTTAACCATCCACGTTTTGAGAGTCTTTCGTTAGTGTAGAAAATTATTAAAACCTATTTTTAATGTGTATCATTGGCTTTTTGGGGACTAGGCCCTACGAGCCTCCCCCTTCGCCCCATTAAATGCGCCACTGGATTCTTCAATAATTCCGGCTATAAAAGAACGCAAAGTCACACCACAGTGGAGAGTAGACAAATTAAGATGTTGAGTCCTGCCATTTCCAAAAAAAAAAAAAAAAACACTTTTTAATTCACTGTTTAAACAACACATTTTAAAAGTGCAAATACCTTCATTCTGGAAGCCACCGTTTAGCGTTTGTTTCTGGCGTGAAGCTATTTGTACAAAATTGTTTCTGTATAATTTGTTGCATTAATAGATGATGCGACAAACCCTTGCCTCTACCCATCGTCAGGGGCGCCCAAAAAAAAGCGAGGGATCAGAGGCAGTAGATCCACAAAGGCCACTTATATTCAACAAAATACTCCATATTTATGAATATAATTAATTATTAATATATGTTAAAGTGAATCATATTTCAACTACAATTAAATTTTATTTCGAAAAATTGTATTGAAGGAAATGCATTTTGTGTAACTTTCCGGGACCCCACTTCAGTGAGGAGGGGCAGCTAAGGCAAGTTGCCTCAACTGCCCCACTCCCTCTGGACGCCCCTGAATATGGAGTCCAACTAGCCCCGTACGTATAGTGCATGTAACAGTCAGGTACGTGGTTCATACCCAAAAATGAGAACCGGCACCGACGTACAGGCTAAAATTCGGTTTGGAGAGTGCACGAATCTTTCACAGTACATCACTGTTCCAGGCGAGACAAGATCGATGCTCCTGACATAAGTGGTAGGGTATAAAAAAGTAGGGAGCACATAGAAAGTGTAAGGAAGTACTTCTCGGGCACTCGCATGATGTGGAACAGAAAAAAACACTACGGAAAAATACCGATCTCAGCAGTAGACCGCAAACATTTTCAATATATATATATATA